CATCTAATCAGATGAGGAACTTATAATTGTTTTACATTTTTAGATTCATACGGTGCTTTCATGAATGTCATCTTACTTGATGCTGAGAACAAACCTTTGAGATGGACGGGGTTATTTTCTCCATTTTTCTAGGACAGGAAGCAGACTCAGAGGTTCGGTGACTTCTCCAGGATCACTCGCCCAGTAAAAGGCAGAGCTGGGGCTCTAACCTGTGACTTTTTTTCTCCCACTATATTGTGCTTACCCCCTGATCTGAGATAGAAGATATGACATACGCTATAAAAACATATGACTACAGTCCCACTGAGTCACTGTCTTCTTTCTTATCTGACACTTGAATAGAGCTGAGAAAAGATTCATGTACAATAACCACAGCTGTGTAAGCCTCGTCTGCACCAGAGCTTCCAGCACTCAGAGAGCGGAAATGGAAGAGTCGCGCTTGCGTGGGGCAGCCTCTGTCAGAGGACGCCTTTGTCACCCGCCCTTCCCACCGACGTGTCCCACCCAATGGGAGGCTTAGCCTCTTGCCTTCTCTCTGCATCTTGCAGTGGATTTTCAAAAATAAGTTCAAGTTTCTTTCCCTGATCTCAACGCCCCCAACTAACTAGTCTTTCTTTTCTACTTGAATCTCACAGCTCCTGACCGACACCAGCCTCCCCTGCCGGCTTCTCCCTCTCCCACCAAGCCTCTGTACCATTTCCCCCAAATCCAATCACCCCTCCTACGCTCTGCCATTTGGGAAGTCTTACAAAGAATCCAACAGAGGTCGCTGAAACACGTAATTATCCCTTAATTGGAGTTGCCAGGACAGGTTGGGCAGCAGTGCCAAGGTCATGGGACATGGCCATGTGGTGGGTAACAAAGAGTGTGGCAGAAACGTGCAGCGGTTCATAGGAAAATCACACAAAGATGTGGAGCTAAGGTAAACCAGAGGGCTGGTGGCTCGGGGACCCTACCTGCCAATAAAGACATTGGGCCACAGAAAAGAATAAGTATAGAAAGTCAGTGTGTTTAAGAGGCAGAAATAATCAGTCAGGTTGAAAAATCTTCTGCTTAAGTAGCACATTTTTTGACATTCATATTGGGCAAACTATGGATCTCAACACAGCCATTACCCATCACCTAGATGGCCTCAAATGGCATGAGCTATTTTAACTGAGCAAAAAGTGGGGTAAGTCACAAGCACAGGATTGTTGTCTTCTTAGAGCTCCTGAGACCTGATGTCTCCCCTGTTAAATATAAACAGCCTACTCCACAGGTAAAATTATATGACCTTGAATTACATTACATCTCCTTGTCTCAAAATTCCAAACCCCCCTTATCCTCTTTATGTTAGCAAATACATCCACTGCACAGGCAAAAGGCTGCCAGGGATCCACCTCTCTGCAGACTGCCACTCATCAAGACACAAAGCTTGTTACCATCAAGAGGACTAAGTCTTTGATAAAAATGAAGCCCTATTTTTTACAGTGGTATAAATGTCTGCCCGAAGAAACCACTTCACTCAGACACTGAGCATAGGATGGGTCCAGCTGCAGCAGCGGTCAAGACCTCCGCAGCTGCCCATCGACGGGGTTCACAACTGGAGGGAAAGAGGGTGCACAGAACCGGAGACTGCACACAGGAAGGGCACGGTTCTTTGGCATAGAAAGGAGCATGTTCTTACAAACTCGCTCTTCTCTTTATCTTATCTGGACAAAAAAGTAAACAGAAAATTCTATTACCTCTCAATGTCAGTGAGCCTGGAAGAGTCCCGGAATCCTTTGGCAAAAGGGTTGCTATCTATTTTCAGCTTGGTTATCTGGAAAGAATGGGTACAAAACAATATCATCTCCAAGGTCAAGGAAGGAAAATCAGAAATAAAAAGTTTGTTCATTTTCCATAGCACCCGAGGAATATCTTAATGTCTCACAGTATCATAGGAAGGATCAAAAGAACTAGACAAATTCACAGGAGGGATGGATCGTGAGCAGGACAGACACCATTAGGGAGAGGGCCTTTCAGGCAAGGGGAGACATGAACTGGGGTGTGAAGTATCTAAGAGATTAGTGAAGGGCTTGACTGGGGACCGGGGGAGCTGCCTGAGTGGGAGCTCTGTCTAGAATTCCAGCATTGGTGGGGAACAGGGAACAAACCTATTCTGATTTGGCAACATCTTTGTGGATACTATGGGCACGTATACATACCGTAATAGATAAAAAGATAAAATGGCCAATCACAGCCTCATGTTCAGTATCATATAAATATACATGACATAAATACGTAATATAAAGCTTCCAGAATATAAATTTACCCATTCTACTTTCCATTTGACTAAATTAAAATGAAATTAGCTCATCTTTTGATATCCTTGCATGAATGTTATTTATAGAACTCTATGCTCATATGGAAAAAAAATACTTTCTAACAAGAATCACAGTCTGAAGTGTTGTCTATGGTGTGGTATTCATAATTTCCATAATAAATGCAGAAAGATCCATTTAATCATATGTACTGTGCCTCTGAAGGGAAATAGGTTGCAAAGCAAAAAAATAAAGGAAGCACTGAATAAAA